AAAATGCCTAACGAATTCGTTAACTGGGACAGATCCCGAAATTTGGCTAATTTTTAGGGCTTAGGGAAGAATAAGCTATTTATTTTCAGTCATTAGTTGAAACTTTTCTGGATTACAAACATTAAAAACTTGATAACACACCCGTTTTTGCCGATCACGCTTTTACCATGACACTTTTCAGTCTACGCTCTTTCATATGTAAACATTAAAAGTTTAAAAACGTGACAAATTCTCACGTTGGCAATTATTTCTCGAAGCAATTCGATCCAATATTATTCAAGGTTATTAAACCTTTAAAATCCTCCTCTTTCAAAATTCCACGATTTGAATTTCTACTGGTTCACTTTTCTATAACCTTAATTGGCACAGACCATTATTTTTTTCTCTTCCTTTCTGGGGGGGATCGTGTTCTATCTTCTTTAGTTTCAAGTTGTTAGCCATCTGTCACTTATACTTCTAACAAATTGGTGTCCTTTTACTTACCCTTTTTTGTAGTTATTTCATATCCCTTTTTCTTTCGAACTGCTCACCAATGCGAATTTCATTCGTCATTGCAGTTTCGTAGAATAAGTAAGTAAATTATTTTCTTACTAAATTTTCCCCATAAAAGAATTTATTTTTTATTTAATGATATTTTGCGTAAGATAATCTTTACATACTATCGAGTATATAATGAGTTGTTTCTTTCATTATTTTTGAAACATCGAATGCTGTAATGATCAGAAATTAATAAAAATAGTAATGAAAAAAAAGAATAGTAATAATTTAAAGATGATATTTACAAATAATAGTTAATAATAATTTAATGAATAAACTAAAGATTATGGTTATATAACAGCCGACCCAATTCTGAGTTTACGACTATGAATGATCAACTTCGTAGACTTGTAATTTTGAGCTCAACCCAGAAAGCGAGGAAACTCCTGGATCAAGCATTGGGACAAACTAGCCTTCGTGGAGGACTTTTTGATGAAATTAACCCGCATTTGCTTAACATAAAGCGGTAAACCACTAATACCTCCCACGGTTTGCCCGACGACAAATGGTTCTAAACCGCTATTCGTCTACCACTGAGGATATTTTATGTCAGCACTTTGTACAATTAGAGCTAGAAGCAGAATTCGTACCAATCGGCCACCGCGGCTTTAAGATGGAGTTTATAATCATGGTGCAATATAGAATGAAATTTGTATTAACAATAGTGTTTGTTATAAAGGGAAGAAATAACCTCATTGTGAGGCGAATATATCCGGCGTATTAAAAAATTAATAATTTTGTTTTTATATACTGATCATGCTGTAATTTTCTGGTTGAAAATATCAAGTAATAAAGAAAAATCTTTCGTTTTGTATTGCTCATGCACAACTAAAGATTAAGAACATGCATTATAACTTTATTTTTCTCTGGCCAAGACGAGAACTCAAATTGATCGATGCTTTATTTTTTCATCTCGTATTACTTATCTTGCATTTTTATACCATATAATTTTACTACCAAAATTTATGTAGATATTTATTAATTTGAGTTCTGAAATATTAAATCAAAATTCCTCAATCAATATTTAATCATTTGGTCCCCTACCTTAATTTAATCCGTTTTTATCAATTTGTTTGTTTTATACCCGGCTCTGGCCTACGCTTCCTTACTGTTACTGGTTATAACTCTCTTATTTGTTATAATTTTAAGTGAAGGGGGTCTTAAATTGCTGTAGTGGATTTTAATATCAATATTTTTAAGCAATAACATATTTTGTATCTTAATCTTTGTTATAACTTTTAACCGCATCTCATAAACTATTGATCCTGGCCTATTTTCAATAAATTTTTTGATTCTTTAAGAAAATTCTAAGTTGACACTAAACGATTTCTATACAGTGACACAACCATAATCCAGTTGTGATCAATTTTAACTTTTTTGGTCGCCTCACAGTGCTGCTTTTTGTTAAAATTTACTTCAAAATTATTTACTTATTTATTGCTTGATTTTAAAGAGGTTTTCTCAATTATATTTGATTTCATTTTCTATTTATTAAACGCTTACTGTTATGCGCAAACCTTAATTTTTGGTCTTAGCGATCATAATACTTGTTTGGCTTATGACAACGGCAACGTGCTTGGTATCATTGAATGTAATTGTTAAAACCTACGCATGCTAAATATGTATGTATGCCATGCCGTATTTCGATCGTTTTAGCTACTACTACTCTTCTAAATAACTGCTTTAAATTTTTCTGTATTTTCGATCTGAACCCAAATTGAGGTTTAATGTCAGTACCACTGTACCAAATTTACAAAGATGAGAAATATAGGAAAAAATTAACGCGTGTTTTTATTTTTCTTATTATTTTTTTTTAAGACTTAACGAATTCTGAAACTGAAAATTATTAAACTAAAATCATTTTAAAAAATTAGAAAAAAATTATTTTTGTAGTATTGCACTAAAAGGTAAGAATTAAAATTTTGAAGGCAACTTATAAGTATCAAGTTGATATAGTCTGTTAATTTTCCAGTTATTATTTCTGCCATTTTCTGTTAAGTTTTTCTTGAAATGCAGTGTAAGACTTTCTATTAAATTTTAAAAAGAGCTTTCGTTAAAAAAAATTTTGAGAAATTCTTACAGCACATTTTAAGATAAAATGAAAATAAAATCTTGCAAATTTAAAGAGATTTTAAGTTAATTAAAAAAAATTAAATATCGACTCGATTCTTATGAGTAACATTCAATATTTTAGTTCTTACTTTTTCGTGCAGAACTGTGGAAAAGTTTTTTTTTTTTTTTGGTGAATTATTTTTAAAATTTTATTGAATGTTTGTAAATTAATTTCTCTACAATGCATGGATAATTCATGAAATAAGACATAATAAATTGTAAGGACCCAGGATTAACCAAACTTCGTGTTTTTACTGAATATTTCAACTTTCGTTGAAAAAACTGTTTTATACTAATATTAAAAATTTCCAGATTTAATTCTGGTCAAAAGTATTGGCACACTGCGTTACCGTTGAAGTTTTACGGAACAAAAAAAATCTGATACAGCTTTATCTTAATAGTAAGATTTATTGTAAAATATCTGAATCATTGTAATTAATTAAATATTACTGTAAAAACTACGGTATAAAAATTTCCGGTAACGTGAATTTTGTTTTGAAATGGATTTTACAGATGCTGCACTTAGGACGCCAGTATTTTTTATAGTAATTTTATCTAGAATTTGTTACAGTGTTGTAACAGCGACACAATTATTGGCTCTTCATTCACTAAGACTCAAACTTAATGGTTCGAGAAGGTTGACCTAAAATATTCTAATTAATTAGTGCAGACGATATTTTAAGCTACAAAATCAGACACAGAACCATACTTTCTCTGAATAAACATACCCTTTTTCAATAAGATTCGGATTTCTGACCCCCAATTTATAGGGGGTAACCGCAATTTGGGAAATATGGTCCAAAGCTTGGACCCCTTAATGTTAATTTGATTTTTTACTTATTTTGCTATATTTCGAAAACTTTTTATGCGAATTGAAAATTTCTTGCCCACAATTATAAAATTCGTTTGTCCAAAGATAATTCCATGCAAAAAAATAATTTTTGTAAATATTTATTATTTTTTATTTAATAATAATAAAAAATTGAATTGAAAAGTATAAAAATTTTTGCATCACATTAAAGTTTGTAATTTTACAAGGCAAAATTAAATTTAAGCGAAATCGGTAGAATAATTCCTGAGAAATTGAATTTTTAAAAAGTAGTTTATTTAAAATTCGGGGCCTTCGCAGTTTTTTTTTTAGAAAATAGTTTATTTTCTTATTAATAATTTGTGTTAAAAACCTGTGTTTTTCCCAACACCACTATTAAAATGAATGGTTTAAATATACCCAAATTCCTCCAAGTCGAAATTAATGGTGGGGGGGGGGCTCATTTGCACCCCTTGCTTGCGGCCATTATCTATAGCAGAAAATTTTTTTGAGTATTTTACAAACTTTCAAGATAGGAAGGCTTGGACTTGTGCTGCAGAGAGTTTATAACTTATTGGTGCTACAGGAGTGTTTATAACTTATTGCTTTATGATTTTAAAGTAAAGTATTAATGTGCAAATTAAAATCGCCATGCCCTAGTAAATTATTGAAGAGAAAAAAGTATTCGGGGATAGATGGCGCCACCTATCACTTTATGCATCCTCCCATCGTCATCATCAACAGGTTGCGGATAATAAACAGAAAAAGAAATCTCATGAGGAAGTAACTTTTTTACGGCTAATCGTTGTAAGTAGCAAATCGTATATTATTTTGAGGTGTCATCGCTACAATTCAACAAATTATATACTTTAATTAGTCATTGATTTCGGAATTTCAATTAGTATAGTTAATTTTTCTTCTATCTTCCTCTTTTTATGACTGCAGAATATATTGCGTAATCACGTCAGACGTCACAGTTTTCTGGGCTTGTTCTATAGGAAGACCGTAAAGCGCGAATTGAAGGGATATCTCCATATAATTTGGTATTAAAATCATAAATTGTGTATATTATCCCAATAATTTAAAATTTCCCTGTGCATTTCTTGCTTTTTAAGTAATTAAGACATTTTTCTGAAGGTTCCTAAATGAGTTGAAGGCTAATAGTCAGTAAATTTTCTTGATGCACAATTTTTTTTTAATCTAATGAATACTGAATAATGTTCAATATAACTAAATAATAGCCATTATAATCTATAGTTGGGGGATATTATCATAACTACGGCAAGTTGGCGAAGAGTCGCCGAGGAAGGAAGATAACGTTTCTGGCGGAGGGAACCAGTTTTCCTCGGATCATGACGTTTACGCCTCTTCCTTCTCATTGGCTCAAATTCCCTGACTACTCCTTAGAACTTATCGGTTAAGATATATCAGTTATTAAGTAACCGGTTCCGATTTCTTGTTCTTAAATAACGTGTNAACTTGTGCTAGTTTCTGAAACAATAGAAAATTTGATAATTAGGAATAATTTTATTATTCTTTGTAGCGAAAATAGAAATCAAAACAGCTCAAGTTGTGATAGTGGTGTAGAGTAAGTTTGTATTAATTTTTTACACTTTCTACTGCTTATTTTTATCAATAATAAAAATTAGTAGGTAAACTATTTATAATTGTAAATATTATAATTTGTAATTATTTGGTATGAATAAAATCTACCCAAAATTTTGCAACCCTCAGCTGTTTTACATTTTGGGGAAAATTACAGTGATATCAACTTAACTCTACACCCTTAATTTTCTGTGAAATTTTTATGCATCTTTTTGATATTTTTTTTTGCTGTGGCATCTTACGAAAGAAATGCAATAAAAATTTTCTCAGTTATATCAATCAATTAATTTTTAGCTATTGAATCTGTCTTAGTTTAATTTATTACAAGAACATAGACTTAAAAATAAAGTTAAAGCATTTAATAAATGTAAATTTAAAAAAAAAAAAAATGATTATCAAAACAAATTATGCATTAATGTTAGATTAGTATTGAATTTGAATGTAAATTTTATTTATAATAATTTATTGTATTGTATAGATTAATAATTTGATTCTATATTATGTATTCTTTTTCTTTTCTCCCATGAATTCAACATTATTTTTTTGTATATCACGAACTATTTATGTAGAGCCAAATATTATTTTTTTAAAAAAAAACAAGCATTTTTTTTGAAAAAAGTTTAATTCTTTTCTGTAATTAATAAGTTCTTAGATTTATTAATTGTTTTCTTGAAAAGATATAACAGCAAAAAAATTACTCATATGTGTTAATAATATTGATTTTTTTTATTGTCTTTCAAAATTACTAACAACTGTTTTGGTTTATTATTATCACAAAAGTTTTATATTACACCAGTTCAGTTGTAATAAAAAATATTGTCACAAAGAACTTTCTTCATAAAACAAAAAATTATTTTTCATATTTCGTACAATTTTCTGTATTGAAAAAATATCAAGCATGCTTACTTAAAATAAAGTGTTTGGATAATAGATAATTTATATTTCTCTTTTAAACTTTTTGAAAATAGATTGAGCTGATTTTGAAATCAAAGGTGCTAAATTTTTAATTCCATATTAATTTGAAGAAAAAAAAATTGCATATATTTTGATTGATGTGAGTAAGCAGTGCTAAATTAGTAAAAAGAGAGTATCTCACACATTTACCAGCAAACACTTGAGTTGTGGAAGTCTGGTTTGAAGTTAAGGAAATCTAGGATATTTCAGTATTGTGATCTTTTTTGACAACTATAACTGTCAAGGCAACAAATGGACTTTAATCTTGCAAATTAAAAAAAAGAAAGAAACATGTTGAAGTTTGCCCAGAAGTGATTATGCGTTATATCCATCCAGTTGCTCCCTTTCTGTGATTTTGTCTTTCTTTCTGTATCTCGCGGGCCGCTGTCTGGCAGTTGCTAAGACTTGGCAATTTTTCTGTCGCACATCAGAATATGGAAATCTTCCATAAAATCTATTGAAAAAAGAGAATGGGTCTCCTACTTTTGAAAACTTTTTAAGAAACATAAGTAAATCTTAAAATGTCTTCTTGAATAATGTAAAAAAATATTTTACAAATTCATTTTAATTAATGACTATGTTTGGAGATGTAAAGTTCGTGGCTGCGTACAGCTAGATACAAAGGGGTAAAAAATAAATTATATAAATATTATAGTGATGTCCCAAAGCATTATCCTGTTGTGTTATCCTTCTATTTGAGTGCTAAGTGTGTATTTAAAATTAGTAGCAATTAAGTTGTTAAAAAAAAGAATCTTGCATTGTTAGATTATTCTTTTAAATACTAGATTTTATTATCACTGCCATTTAACCCCTTCCTTCTCGCTCCCGTGAAAATGACGGGGTGAGATTTCGCCCGCTATTTCTCGCTCCCGTGATATTGATGGGCTGGCTGGAGTGTTCAGTAGTAACGTGCCAATAAGAATAAAACTAATTCATTTCTTTTTCCCGGAAAACATTTTATTTCTCATTTTACACACCTGATGGCAGTAACAGGATATTTTTAAGGTAATTGTAGATAGTTTATTTTAAACTAGTTGCAGCACTAATCAAATACGTAATACACAGAGCCGAATTATACCTTTCGTGGGCCCTAGGCATAGCCGTTTTTGGGCCCTCCCCTCTTTTCAAAATATATGCTAAAATTTTCTTGCATATTTTTTTTAACATTTTTATTAATATGGATTTTAATTTACAAATTTGTTTATCGAACTTTATCTGCAATACCGACATATTGCCGATATTGCAGTTGATATCGATAATACCATTATGATTAGTTCGATCGATAACTATGTAAACACTTCACGTCAACAATACAACAACAAACCAGCAAAGAAAACAGTGAAATTGATAGTGAGATTAATTACAAGAAATATTTATACAGTAGAGAACCAATTATCTGGGATGCTCGGGACCATCGCTATCCCGGATGTCTGAATTTCCCAGTTTTCTGGATCGACCAAAAAGTGTCATTAATCGATGTTTTATCGAACCCGAATTACAAGGAAATTACACAAAAATTTGTCAGAATCTGAGATTAAACTAAAAGCGCAAAATTTGGTGAAAATTTACTCATCCGATTTAGAGAAAAACTTTGTAGATGAATTTTTACTATTTTCAAATTTATATGAACATAAATCTGCACAAGAAATGTTGAAGGCTCAAATTAAAGATAAACTTGTGAATACTTTTCCTAACGTTCACATTGCATTAAGAATATATTTGTCGATTCTTGGATCAAATGCAGAAGGAGAAAGATCTTTCTCCAGATTAAAATTGATAAAAAATTATTTGCGTTCAACAATGAATCAAGATCGTTTGGCATCGCTCGCACTTATGTCTATTGAATACGACATTTTGCGTAGTTTGGAATTCGACAGCATAATACAAGATTTCGTTGAATCCAAAAATCGCAAAAAAGTAATATATTAGATCATAAGATTCTGCAAAATAATTTATTACCGAAAAATATTATATTTTTATTTGTATCTTCATAATTTTGTGCAAAATACACTTGTTGTTTTTAAAGCTAAATTATTTTTGTCAAAAAATCTTTTTCTCCCAAGTTTTTCGTAGGCCCTCACATGCCTAGTGTGCCTATAGGTTAATCCGGCCCTGGTAATACAAATACAAAAGCCGAAAAAATAGGCACTTTTATGACCATTTTCTTGAAAATTAACCGATCATTAAGGGGTTAAAAGATATTGAAATGCCTTTGTGTTTTTTTTAATATTTTTTTTATCAACTTGAAAAATATTGTGAATTTGAATATGTAACAAAATAATAAGATTTTTGAATTTTATTTTCAGTTCTATTGCTGGTCGAAAAGTTAACAATTGGGAAGATAGTACAAATAATGTAAACGGAGTACAACCTGACATGAAATCTTTAGTTAACACAGAAGATGGGAGTGACTTGAGCCAATTATCCCCAGTGTTAACTTGCATCCGCACTTTGAACGGTTTGTAATAATTACTTTATATTTTACATTAAATTTTCTTATGTTAAAATCTATTTCAAACTTTATTAACTCATAGACCCAGATTTTTTGAGCCAATTTGCAACAGTTTCTTCATGAATCGAAATTTGTCTGCAACTCAAATGGAGGCTAATATTGTAAAAATAGGCTTATCCAAACTCATAGCAAAATTTTACATTGCAAATAATCAATAAAATTTGAATGCAAGAAATGTATGTTTAAATTTAATTCTATAATAATACTATGATGTAGTAAAACTGTAGTCAAAGCATCTGATCAACTAAAAAGTAATAAATTGATATGAAGTTATCCAATAATACTTTAATAACTGAATAGTCTAATAATAATACTAAATAGTCTGAAATAAAACTTTTTCAGACAATTTATAGAAAATTTTGGCTTATCCAAACATACATGTAGTGAAATTCGTACATGTAACCATAGGATAAATAAAAAATATACACAAAAATTTATACCTTTTTTAAAAATTTCACTTGAAACTTAGACAATAAAACTTTCAGTGGGAAATGAAATCTATCAGGTCAGAATATTCTTAATAAAAATTAAAATGAGATTATGAGATTAATGAGAAAACTATATATCAATAACTGTATATCTGACTTCAGTTTAATTTTATTTGAAGAACTATCAAATTTTGACCATAAATTTTTAGAGTATGGCATTTGTAGGTTTAGATTTAATAGCATTAGAACCGAATGGGTCTATATTGTTCCAGACTCCAAAAAGAACCAAGGTATATAAGAGTCTAATACAGATTGGGTATGACGTCCAATCTGTATACATACTATTTTTTTCCAAAATGTGTTATTTTTTATGGCATAATGAGATTTTTTCCCAATTCATTTGAGCAGTATTATTTTGCTTTTCTAGGATCTGGATTTATACTAGAAGAGGAACGAACTAAATGTGTAAAAAGTTTATGCCTAAGTAAATTGAAGAATGAAGTGGAAATATCCAGAAAGGTATACTGCTAGCTCAATTTCATATCGATTGTTTATGAATAATTATGTATAGTTGAATTATCTTTCATATTTGGCGTAATATTTACTTCAAATTTAAAATTTTAGGATGGATTTTTGTTTGCAGTTTCTCTACGTGATGGAGCTTGCCTTTTCACCTCTGCAGCCATCACTGATCATTTGGGCTATCCAAAAGTATTTCATAATTTCATAAACTATCAGGCTTTTAAATTCTATAAAAAAAATTATGAAAAGAGCATGTAAAAGGAAATTCAGGAGAAAGTTTTTCAGAATAAATAGTATTTAAATATTTTTAATATTTCTACATAGATAAAGTCTTTATTGTTAGTATGAGGCTCAATTAACTCTCTGAAATAAGCAATAATTAAATATGTAGCATTGAAAGTATACAGAAATAGGAAACATTTCAACGTAACATGTTAAATGCATATGAAGTAATTGGCCCTTCATGTTAAGTTTGTAAATATATATCTATCTACTTCCTGTATTTTATTATTTAAATAAATTTATCTTTCGTTTTTTTAATTATATTTCAATCTATGCTTGCATAAAATATGGATTGTGTTAGATTTAAATGTTGATCTTTAATTTAAAATTTGTGTTTGAGACAAGTTTTCCAAACAACCATAGTTTGATAATATGCAATCATTTAAATTATAAAATTAAAATTAGATATCATCATTATTAATAATTTGAATTCAAGAGTTCTGATGGTAATTCAAAACTTTTACAAGATAAACACAGCCTCTCTAAAAATTGTGCGAAGGCTAAGTTAGTGATTCTTTTTTTTCCAATGTTATTATAAGTTGTTCAAAACTACTTAATTACAGACTAACCTATCAGCAAACTCTTCTGAATATGCTAACTGCTTTTACTGATTTAGCATCTGGAAAACCATCAATAAATTGCTTGCTATTATTATTATCTGTGGTGCGAACTACTTAATTTAGATATTTGATTATAGAAGCAATAAAAAAAAATCACGTGCACCATCAATGTGTGGTTTATATTATACCATTTTTTCCCCGTGGCAGAATCATTGCGACACGGCGACATTGTTGCAGAACGTTACAGAGTTCTTGCAAAAAGATTTTTCGTTTCGGAAGTAAAAAAAAATTTTTCTGCAGAAATTTTCGAAAGATTTTATCTTTTCTTAAGAATTAGATTCAAAAGATTCCTTTCTCGTGCATTCGAGTGGAAAAAATGCTTTTTATATTCTCATTTGAGAAGAATTAAAATAAAGATTAATGAAGTAAAAAATTTGGTTTTCTATTCTGCAGAAAATTTCGTTCTAATTTTATTAATGCAGTTATTACTATTGATTTCCACATATTTTTAAATCCGATATTTCTAATATATTATTTTACTGCTTATTTTAATATTTTTTTTAATGAGATGATGATTTTCAAAATGTGAAAAAGGAAATAATTGGAGTTTTTTTCCCCTACAAAATGCGAGAATCTAGCCCTTAATTAAAAAAGTATTACATGTTTAATTAAAAAATTATTTTATTTGGTCCGAAAAGTTTCTTTTTTTTCTTCTTTTCTTTTTTTTGAAGTTGATGCTTTTTTAATTTAGTAACAGGTATATTTGTTATTTTTAAAAGTATCTTGCAGAAAAATATTAGTATTAGAAAGGTATGTCGCAGAAAGCCCAAAAAAATTCTGCCACAGGGCCATTTTTTTTTATTTGAAAAGACTGCTATTTTAAATGTTTATTTTTGATTTTCGTAAATTAATTTAATTGTTATAATTTAGGATATGCTTATGGGACAGAGTTTCATAAATTTTATGTACGATAAAGACCACTTGACTTTTGCTAATCATCTAACACAAGGACTGAATGTATGTTTTACTCAAGGGAAACGAGGTAATTTCTTTCTATAATACAGTTGTATTAGTTAACACTGTAAATAACCTTTAGGTTTTATTATTGTTTTAATATGCACTGTGAAATAATTTTTATGTAAAAATTGTTTTTGCTTTTTGTTCTGTCTTTCGTTTTTATTTCATATTGGTGTTGGAAAAATTTTATCAACTTAATTAAATCACATCTGGCAACCTTTTTTATTTTTCATCTATATTAGTGTTTTAGAACAATAACTTCATGATCAATTTGAAAATTATTATAACATTGTGAAACTGTTCATTGAAACTCACAGCGTAAGTGGGAACATTGTTGTTTACCATTTTGGATGCTTCTGTACCCATTATAAGATTATTTTTCTACGACAACTGTCACACATTGATGTCCATGATGTGATTGCAATTTGTTGGGTAGTATTCTATTGATCGTGGCAATATTTCTTTCTTAAAGCTTGTCCCCTTGGGTCTAAATAGGTCTCCAACTTCTCTTGGAGAAAGGTTTCCATACATGATTGGAGTAAGGAATAGATACAAACAAAAGGCTTTTGCTAGATTCTGTAATGGTCACCTCTGTGCTCTTTGGCATATATCAAACATTTAAGTTTGCGAACCGAGTTCGAATCCTGGTTGATGTGAATTCCATATCCAGCTTGTGCCGACCACAGTGCTGACGTAAAATATCCTCAGTGGTAGACGGATCATGGGTTAGAATCCCCTTGCCATCAGGCTAACCGTAGGAGGTTCTTGTTGTCTTCCTCTCCATGTAACGCAGATGCGAGTTAGCTTAATAAAAAAAACCTCCACGTAGGCAAATTTCTCCCAATACTCGATCCTAGAGTTCCCTTGTCTTCTGGATTGGGTTCAAAATTACAAGACTACGGATTTGAACATTGGTAGTCATAAACCCACAAAATTGGTTCGGCTGTGTAACAACGGTTATAAAACNTAGCTTAATAAAAAAGTCCTCCACGAAGGCAAATTTCTCCCAATACTCGATCCTAGAGTTCCCTTGTCTTCTGGATTGGGTTCAAAATTACAAGACTCCGGATTTGAACATTGGTAGTCATAAACCCACAAAATTGGTTCGGCTGTGTAACAACGGTTATAAAACATTTAAGTTTATCCCTTTTGACTGAATTACAATTTGACTCAAGCCGTCCCAATGCATTGGTTGCCAGAAAAGCCAGCTATACTCCAGTCCTGGAGTGGTGCGGTTCTATCGAAACTATGGTGCTGCTAACTATGGGCTAACTAAACTAAACTATGGACTAGCTAGTGCGGTTCTAACTAACTATTCTTAAACTTGTTAAAATTAAAACTATAACTTAAAGATTTCTAAATAAAATCAAGGATAATAAAAATGTTTGCTAAGACTTGAAATTTTCAGTATAATTTTAATAATAATAATGTCTGAAAAAACCTAATTTCATTTATTAATAGCTTATATATGATGTTTTCTGTCACTACCTGTATTGTGTATGCTAAGAATGCTGTTCTTGAAACTTTAGAAAATTGAGCACGAGTACCAAACATTTTTTTCCCATGAATATGTTCATTCTTTCATATCTAATCAAATACTTCCATTAATACTTCATGCATAGATTTCTAATTTAGATAATGAGAATAATAGTTAAAACATTTTTGATTTTTTTTTTTTAGTTTATTTATTTTAAACATAAAATTAACACTAATCATAAGGAATTTGCTATATTGTTGCAGTTAAAGTTTTAATTCATTTAAACTAATCAAAATCAGATTTTTAGCCAACACCACCAAATTTTTTAAGAGCTTCATAGTTTCTTCCTCGAAATATTTCATCAAGTACAGTTTCCAGCAATATTCTGAAACAATAACCTTTTTTTAATAATTGTACAGTTTTAAATGCGAATTTAATGTCTCTATTTCAATTCATTTGAAATATATTTATTCTTTTCAGATTAATTTGTTCGAATGAGTATATATTAAAATGTGTAATGCCTAGTGTTTATATTAGCTGTTTTCTTTTTTACAGATGATTCTCATCTTGTTTTGAATACCTTTTTCTGTCGAATGAGGTAAGAAATATTACTCATAATTTATTAAATGTACTTCAAAAATTTATATTATTTGTCTGTTTATAAAATTAAAATAATAATTGTTTAAAATATTCAGAAAAAGATGGGAATTTTGTAATTTCCTGTTATAAAATATAGCTTTTTTTATTTAAATTGCAAAGCATTGTTTAGATATCGTTTGTTTCAGTAGGATCTTTCTCAGATCCGTCGGATGAAATATTTATTTAGCAATCAATGTAAAGATAAATTAAATTTATTTGGAATTTGCTGTGTGGTACTATGATTTAAGCTCAAAGTTTTTGCTAAAAAATTTATTTCTTATGATGTGTATCAATATGTAAAGAGTAGGAAAATTCTTAAATTTAATTATATAAAAATGCGAATTCTAGGAATAAATCTAATAGGGATTAAATTTTTAGTTCTTAATTGTGTTTTGGAAGGAGAATAAAGAATTAAAGGCAGTGGTGTGGTATTAGTGATCTAAATTGTTTATTGAAAAATAATTGCATATAAATGGAAAGTGTGTTGCTGTAGAATTACTAACTTAAAACCAAGGTTTTATAGTTTTTTTTTTAAAGTTTATTTTGTCTTTACATTTATGGCATAAATTATTTTTTAATCATAACATGAAGTTTAATTTTGCTATCTATTTAATTATAACTATTCTTGAAGGACTACCATTTTTTGCATTTAAAAATATGTATGATTTTATTTTTTGCAGAGTATACCAAGGATTGAAGTTCGGATATTCTGTTGGTTCCAAGCCCCAATATAAACCATTCAAAATTATTTTACACATTAATGAATTGGTCTTAGATGATATTTGTGTTGAGAAACCATTAGCTACATTATGCGTGAAGGCAACAGCAACTCAAGTTTCATCTGCTTATTCTGGTTAGTTCTTTTTTCAATTGTACATATATTTCTTTTGAAACCTTCTGTTTTTTTATTTGTCATTTCATGCATACTTTTAATGTTTCCTGTTAATTTGCGGTTTTTTTTTAAATAAGAAAAATGATCTGATTTGATTTTATGTATATTTTTTGTATTTCTTCCTGAACTTTTGCAAAACCTTCGGGGTACTGAGAGAGAACAATTTTTGACATTTTTCTGGCTCTCTCAGTAGAAAAGGTTTTGTTTTTATGACTTCCAGAGCTGGTACCCCCTGACGACGTTAGCTTCGGTAGCCATATTTTTATTTCCGCATAATAATCAGCTATTGGAGAATGTCCCATATAATTTTTATTAAAGAAAATTATTATATATATACTTGCAGCTTATGTGCAATAAATAAAACTTATTGTTTTTCTTAATTTTCTTCATGTTTTTTTGTTTTTATTTATTATGCTTTATATGTATGGTTATATAAATTTAAAAAATATAGCTTTTTAATCATAGTTTTATCTATTCATAAAAATTTTCTTTTTATCGTAAGCTATATATATTTTTGATTTCTTCAGGACCTACCAGAAAATCTTTGATGTGTTTTGCACATTTTGTTTTGCATTATATTTTATAAAAATAATTTTAATGGTTTAAAGTATTTGAATATACATTTAAAAAAAAGGCAAGTTGAAACTTATAAATACCTACATATAGCTTTGTACTTGAGAATTTATTTCTTTATGTTTTATTTAGTTCCCAAAGAAATTCCTGCAATGACTTCATTTTCTACTCGTCATACAGCATCTTGTCATTTCAGCCATGTTGATGCTAGGTAATAATTGATTTTTTTAAAAGTATTTCATCTTTGTGTTACTAACTAGAGAAATGAAATGCATTTATGAATTTATCTTTGATAATTTTTGTTATAAGATTTTTTTAAACTTTGGGTATAACAGCACAAATTAAAATGCTGAGCTTAAAATTATTAATTAAAATTTTTTATTAAATTCAGAATATTTTAGATCAAATGTCTGAACCCTTATATAAATGGCTACTCTTCTAATTATGATAACTAAATCCTCTTACCTTTAAAAGTTAGGACAAATTTTTATTTCAACTGTTTTTATACCAGTAAATATTGAATAGAAAACATTTCTTTTAATAAAAAAGGGAATATTAATGAAGTTGACTGTATAAAAATATGTGAACATTCAAATGAAAAATTGCTAATTCATCAGTTAATTAACTATATTTTCTTATCTGCAGGGAAAAAAATTCCCCCTCCCCTTAAGGACTAAATTAGAAAATGTCCATAAAATTATTTTTTTAAAAATATATTCATACAAACAAATACAGAGGAATCCATTTGGTACTATATATTTTAAATTTTTGCATTAATTGTTTTTCATACAGTGAAAAGTGTGTATTCTTTAGTTGGGGTCAAAAAATGACCAACCGATACTAAATGCTTAATTCATATTCACTCAAATTTAAAGTCCTAGTATGATTATTTTGAACTTTTTCTGTACTTCTATTTCAGTTTTAAATAGTTTTTTTTTATTCATTAGAAAGGAAAATTTACTGTTTTCTTTTTATGTTAAATATTACTGTCAGTTCAACATTTATTGTAAAAAATGAAGATTTTTATTCTGCATTTTTGAAGTCATTGAAAAATCAAGTACAGTTCTTTATAATTATTATAAAGTAAAAGCATTTGCATAACAGTCCCTTGAGAGACAGGGATATTCTGGAATTTCAGCCTCTTCAGTTTTGTAGCCTAGGTCAGCATTGAGCATAAGCCGCCTTTATTTTCTAAGTTTCCTTATATGCATCGCCACTAGAGATCAAATGCCAGTCTTTCACATTGACATTTCTGTGCCTTAATCACTGTACTGTCACATATCTCTTTGTAATCATAGTTTTTAGAATATTTTGAGTTAATTTTTCCTTAGAACAGAATTTTAATTACCTTTTCTTTATGTACATTTATAGTGCAATTCCTTACCTTGGATTTCTTCCACAAGATATGGTTGGATATTCAGTATTCGATTTTTATCATATTGATGATATGCCTCAACTCAAAGAAATATATGAATTAGGTTTGTACGCCTATATAATTTTTTTTTAAAAATTATGCAGATTTTAAAAATAATTAAGATATGCTTTGTATAACAAGGTTCGAAAAGCATTTTAATGTAAATAAACAACGGAAATTATAAACGTTTTTAAAAATTTAATTGAAATTAATCATTGCTCATGCTATTTTTCCACAAATTTTTATATCTAAGTCTAAAGCAAAGTGTTTAGACTTAGAAACTTAACAAACATGACAACAACTTAAAAAAAATGTGAAATTTTAATTAAAAAAAAGTGAGCCATTATTAATGTAATAATGAAAGGCCGTTTCTGTTAATAACTTAGTAAACTTAAAAACGGTAATGCTTTATTCATTATACAAGCATTTCCTTATCTGAGTTTAATTCATTTTAATATAAAAATTCTTGTAAACATATTCATTTCAGGTCTAATTTTGCAATTTATAATTAAGATAGCCGAACTTATTTCATATTTAAAATAAATTTTTTCTTGAAAATTCACTTTAGTGAAAATCCATTTATTTTATTTGAAAATTTTATATATACTAATACAGTACAGAACCCGTTATCCGGAAATCAGGAAACCGGAAAACCAAAAAACCAGAACGAAATTCGGTAAATTTTCCAGCCATTTTTAAAAAAAAAATTTTTTTTCCTCGTAAGATTTTTGGATTTTTCTTTCTTTTTTGAAAGATGTTTACCATACCATCATTTTAGAAATAATCATTACTGTATTACTTCATCGTTTTTTCTTCTTTTTAGGATTATTTCCTATTTTTTTTTTTAGTTGGGTTTAACAATAAAAAAAACTGCTTTTTGTAGCGATTCAGAAAACCGGAAAAATCAGTTATCCGGAATATCGATGGTCCCGATCTTTCCGGATAATCGGTTCCCTACTGTAATACTTACACTTCTAAAATGTTATATTACAGCAAAAACTATTTTTTTGAACCTCCGAGAGGTTTATCTTTAGATAAATGTAGATTCCATGACTTATATGATTATAGTATATTCTAGTTAGTGACTTTTTATTTTTCTTTGTTTCCTTATTTTTCTGCATCCTTCAGATATAATTTTTAATGCAATTTGATTTTGTTAATTTAAGCATGTTTTATCATATATTCCTCGTTTTTATTAAAAAAAAGTTAGAAGGAGAGAAATTTTTTCTGCATCATAATTGCTTAATGCTCTTATAGGATAAAAATGTCTTTTTGATCCCCTATTAAATCATAATTTTTGTTGAACTTCAATTTTTCGATTCTGCATATAAATTTTTATCAGAAAGTATTTATTTTTAAATAAGCTAGATAATGAAGACTTCAAAAATTCTTGATTCGCAGTCACAATTATTTGTTGCAACTTATGATAGTTAAATTCATTTGTTTTGTTTTAATATTTTTCTAGTATTTAAGAATGCCCTTAAACAAAAGTGTGGAATTAATTTATTATTATTATTTTTTTAGTCATTAAAGAACATGGAACGTCCTTTCGTAGCAAACCATATCGATTCAAAGTTCATAACGGATGTTATATCATGCTTGAAACAGAATGGTCCTGCTTTATTAATCCATGGTCACATAAGTTAGAATTTGTTGTTGGGCAACATCGAGTTCTGAAGTATGTATTTTCTTTGTATAAATATTCCTTATTTAATAACATTTTATTATCTTGATAATAATCTAGAGTACTTAGTCTGAAACGCTATAGAGAATTCTTTTATTTTATATAATTTTTTAAATAAATTTTACTTAGTTTATTTATTTAATGGAAGGTATCTATTGTTATCATTAATATTTAAATTTTAAACTGCAAATTCATTCTCTTATAACCAGGAAGTATTGAGGCCATACTGTGTCAGTACGACATTCTACCACTTTTTTAAGTGAGGTAGAGCATAATACCGGAGCTTTAATGAATATGTCACAAATTTTCAACTTATAATCTTAATTCCTTTTTTTATTAAAAAAATGTTTTAGAATAATCTACTCTTGATATTAACACATTGAATCCTAATATTGATATGCTGCTCTAAATTTGGCAACAATAGTGCCAGATTAAAACAATTAATTGTAAAATCAGCAACCTACATGACTCAACATTTTTATTTTCAAATTACAATTATGATATTTTATTCCCTTTCATTTGTTTCTAGACATCAGTTAATAAAGAGACAACTCATATAGAAATTTTAAAAAATTATTTATAGCATTTCGATGTACAGTAGGGAACCGATTATCCGGAACGATCGGGACCATCGCTATTCCGGATAACTGATTTGTCCGGTTTTCTGAATCGCTACAAAAAGCCGTTTTTTTTATTTGTTAAACCCAACTAAAAAAAAATAATATTTGGAAATAATCTTAAAAAGAAAAAAAAACGAAGTAATACACTAATGATTATTTCCAAAATGATAGAAAGATAATGATAAAAAGAAAGAAAAATCCTAAGATCTTATGAGGAAAAAAAAAATTTTCTTTTTAAAATGGCGGGAAAATTTATCGAATTTCGTTCCGGTTTTTTGGTTTTCCGGTTTTCTGATTTCCGGATAACGGGCTCTGTACTGTATAAGTTTTATTAATAAATAATTCATGAATGTGTAAGTTCCTGTAAGATGTAAATTAGTAATAATTTGTAATTAATTCACCATAATAAATTTTATTTATAATTAGCTTTTAGCCACAAGTGATTAATTGTGTGATTAAATGATAATGATAAAAATTAAAAATTTTCCTTTAAATAGTTAAATCTACTTATCAACAAAAATTGATTAATCAAATCTGAAAATAAAATTGGTTAATTCTTATGTAGAATGTAGTTGTAGATAACATTTATCTCATTTTATTCAAATAAGGTAATTTACGTTTTATCCATTCATTGATATTCCAGTATTATAACATTTAAGTTTGCAATTGTTTGTTTCACATTTTAATTATTTTGTATAATAGGGGCCCATCAGATATTAACATTTTTACGCCTTGTGAAATCTCAGAGACCAATGCTTCTGATGAAATCATCAAAGAAAGTCAAGCTATACAGAAAGAAATCAAAGTTATACTGTCTCAGGTAATTTTGCATTTGAAATTATAAAACATCTAGAAAAAAATAACTAACATTATTTGACAAAAAAATGTCAAAATATTATAACAGGTTACTTTGTTAAAACTAGTATTTATTGTCAGTATTATAATGTATTTTTCTGCAAAGATGTTAAAAGGAAACTCCTTCATTAAATAGAAAATAATGAATATTTTAGTAAAGAAAATAATTTTTTAAAGACTGCTCTGTACCTGGAATGTCTTGGTAAAAAAAGTGAATGGATTAAAATAGTTTTATTAATTTAAAAAAGAATCTTCCTTGCATAACAAATTATATTTTTCGATTGTCACGCACATCATGCATTTTCACGTATTTTTCAAAATAAAATTCTATCAGAAAAAGAAGACTGTCTTAAATTGAAGAAAAAGTATGTTAAAGTTTTGTATTCAAAGATTTAAATAAAAATTTTAGCATTTTTTTTCTTTTAAGTTTAACTTATTGATATATTTATTTCCTATGTTTGAGGTTTTTAGAAAGAGTTTTTTCCAATATTGGGGCACTTTCCTGAAATTTGTAAATCAAATAGTTTTTATAAAACTTTTGTCAGAATTTAAGAACATGACAAATTATCAATTTGATCTTCGATCTATATGTTTTAATTAATACATATTTAATTAATATGTGTAGTGATTGGCAAAATTTTATTAATTATAATTTATTAATATATTAATACAGAGTTCTGACTAGAAATAAAAAAGGGCGGGGCGCATCCTCTCCGAAAAGGGCACTTTGAGTTTTGAAAGGGCACTCACTTAACACCTTAAAAATGTATCAGAATGTTTGATATTATGTAATAACTAAATTTAATCCTCAACCATCTTTAAATTAACCTCTTGTACTATATTATGTGTGTGTGTTTATAAAAAAATAATTCTCTCTCATTATCAAAATAAGAGAAAAATTCGTAGTTTATAAAAATAATTAAAGGCGTGCTAAAAACTGAAAAAAGTAAACTGAAAAGAATAATTAATTGACAAACAGTTTATAACTTTAGAGTTTTTTTTCTATGATTTAAACTGAAAATTTATAAGAAAATAAACAATTAAAAGGTGCATTTATTTTTCTTTAAAAAAAGGTGTTTATTTAAAAAATAATTTTAAAATTTAAAGATGTTAAAAAATGGAATTATGCAGTGAAATCTCTTGGGAGCGACCACTCCCCGTTCCACAGTAAAAAATATGCTCTTTGATGGAGGTTGGTCGTTCTTAGAGGCTACCTCCATTGATTTCAAAATTGTTATTAAAGGTACATGATCATCTTTATTGCTCTCTGGCTGCAACGTGAGGTTATATAATAAAAAAGAACTCTATAAATAAGAACCTCGCACAAATATTTTGAATACATTTTAATCTACTTATTTGTTTCGTTACATTTTTTGTTTTAATATTTTTTTCGTGTTTCCTTATTTGACCTTTACCGCATCTGGTGCAGATGTTTTTTAGGTTTCTGGAAGAGGTTTTAATGGTCTCTTCTAAAGGTTTTCTTCAACATAATGTCTATGGAAAAAATTCTGTGCGCCCCCCAAAAGTGGTCGTAAATAGAGGTGTACTTTCCTGGAGGTTTCACTGTATCCCCCCCCACATGGAATTATTTTTTTTAAAAATTGAATATGAATAAAAAGACAGTGTTTTTAAAGAATCAAAGCTTATTTTTACAAATAAGAGCTAAGAAGGCACATTTATAGCGATTCAAATGGTAGGCAGCACTGTCCGCCCTTCTAAAAATGCTTAGAGGTAACGCTAATTAAATTACTATTTCTACTACCAGGAAAAAAATTTCTGAAACTACAGAAATTCCATAGTCGTTGAAGGTTATGGGTGTGTAATATCTTTTCAAATGTGCTGTAGCTTTTTTGTGTATAAAATCATTTAAAAAAAAGTTTGGAGTTTAAAAGACAATTGTTTTATAAAACTATGTTTCTTGCTATGGAGTAATTTGTTTCATTGCTTTCAGTCTTTGGAAAATTTCCAATTCAAGAAAAATAAAAGGCTTTGTAACAAAAGGAAACGAGATTTGGTTTCTTTTGTCTACAGCTGCATTGATAAAGCGAATGTGAATGGTAAGCGAACTAAAAAAATTTACTTAGATTAAAAATCCAAAATTACTTCAGTTGCTTAGAATTTTTTTAAAATTATTTATTATTTTTAACCTATCTGTGTGAAATACTTCTTATTTTTTTAACCATGCAAAAAAAAAAAAATTTTTTTTTAATATTTAACTATTTTAAACAATTCTTCCAATTAATGCAATCAATATTTTTTGTTTATAGGTGATAAATTTGAAGTTATGGAAGAACGTGGAAGTCATACAGTAAGTGGAACAAAAAAATTACTCATTTTAACATTCTTCTCTCTAAATAGTATTCTCTTAAAATATCAAGATAATATTTTTACTGTATGGTGATCATATGAAAATTAAGGAGAAAACAAAAATCTGCCTATTGTTTTTTCTGAACATTGTCATTGTCTTAGCAAAGTTAATCTTTAGTTAATTTTTTGTTTGTTATTGACAGATTGCTACAAAAATTGGTTTTTGACACGACGCATGGTATATTTTTGATGTTAGAAAACAATATGAAGTTACTCTCCCTTAAATAACTCTATAAAGTTTTCCTTAAATTCACTGAAAAATGTTTGACATTTTCTGTTACTGCTTTTGAAATATGATTTCAAGAAAAATGCATGTAAGATTTACTGAAGCAGTGACAAGTGTTAGTAGTCACCCCTAATAAATCTTTGTTTCTCTTTGTATGTATTTTAGCCCTTTGTTACATTATGCTTTTTAGGAATCAAGTAAACATAATTGTGTAATTTAATCTGATATGAACTAAGTAATTGTGATAAGAAAATAAATGATGAAGTATGTTAGGAAACTTATGGTAACAAAAAAATACTGTTTTTTTAACCTATACTTTTATTGTTACTTTCTGAATTGCAATATGGGAAAAACAGAAAATTTATTTTTCGGACGAAAATTATATTAATGGCTGATGGAGTTCTTTTATTTAAAAATTTCTGTTATTGCATTTCCGTAGTTTGATTATGATTATTTATGTATAGTGTTATCTTTTCTCAAACAAAGTTTTGCCAATTGTTATAGCAAGGAAAAAATTGTTTTTGTATGAACTCCTAAAAAGTGCGAAATTTTCAAGTGATTGCTTTTGCAGGGAAAAAAGTAAAATGATTCTTTCATTTAAAAAGTTTTGTAATTGCATTTTTGTGGTTTGATTTATGATCTTTCATAGATAGTGCATATTTTCTCTATCACTCTTTCGCTAAAGGAGCTCAGAGAAACTTTTGACTTTTGGAAAATCGACATCAAATTAAATTTAAAGTTTATTAGATGAGAAAACATTTTTCAAAATTTTATTTTTTTTCCCTTTGGTGTGTAGAAAGATATGAATGCATTTTAAAATGTTATACATTACAAAATATTTTTTTTATGTAACTTAGGATCCTGATAGTGTGGTTATGGGAGATATTTCACCATTTCGAGAAATGAATGACTCTAGTGTCTCTTCCCCACCAACTGTGCAACAAATGCGATATCAAGAAAACATTGAACGGTAAAATATTTTGTTACTTCCCTCATTGTAAACAAGTATAACAGTAACTTAGTGAAAATCTCACTATTTCATTCCGATATAAATATATTCTCATTGCAAGGTGTTTGAAATAAAAAATGTTTTTCTTGTTATAATTGGATAGTGTTTAACTGATAATGTATTAGAAGGTGTCACAAAATATAAGGCAGATGTGCCACCATTCCATCTTCAATATGGAGTTCTGTCTTATTTAGGGAAAAGTAACTTTTTTCAGTGCTTTTAATTTTATGCACTTGTAAGAATGAAAATTTGTATGATATGGTTTGCTCTCGAGTCTTAATTTTCTAAAATTATTTGATTAGTTCGTTATGTGTGTGACTTAAAAAATAAGACTTAAAATATAACTCTTTTTTTTTTTTTTTTTTAAATTTGACTCTATTTTTATTTATTTCAATTCTGTGTTTTCCTAAAACTTGAATATTAAGAACAAATGAACACATTTTGATTTTACCTAAAATGTGTGTAAATAAGTGGATAAAGGAATAACAATGTTTTTGTCAAAATAATGACTAGTGTTTATGAGTTCTGCATAAATATTTGCTATAGTTTTTTGAACTGAACGATATCTTAAACTTGGATTATGATTCTAGTTTTTATTAGGACTAGGGGTGTTATATTGAACATCAACTTTGTGTAGTGCTTGCACACTGTTTTGTTATTTATTAATTTAACTTTAGGATACAAAATGGCCAGATTAATTTTGGAAAATTAATTATTATCTAAATTAAAATTAAAAAAATATCTAAACATAAGTTTTGACTAGATGAGTATTTCTTTCAAATGTGGGAACAAAAATTTAAAGATTAAATATTTTCAATTCATATGCTGGCTGTTATGTGTTATATAACAATTTTTTTCTCCAAATATTTGAACACATTTTGGTTAGTTTTTTGATTTGCTATAGAGAATACTCGTTTAAAGTATGTCAGTTTTAAGCTTCATTATCTTATATATTTGAATAAATGATTATCACATAAACCTCAAGTCCCATTTATAATATTTTTATTTTCTCATTCTTTTTATCTTCAGATAAATTACCATGATAACTTTAGGTATTTAATGTTTCAAAAACATTAAAAGCGCAAAATTAATACATTATATTTTAATTTATTATATTGAACTGCAAAGATCATTATGTTCTTGTAATCATATTTGAATTGAATTTCAGATTTTTTGCTAGTCAACCTAAAACTTATTCAGATGGCTCTGATGATTTTAAAAATGATAAAAGCTCGAGTGTCGAAGAGTATCAAGGTAGCAGTTCTGGCTCTGGAAATGGTTCAGGATCTGGAAACGTATCAGGTCCGTTATTTAAAATATCAATTTCTAAAATGCATTCTTGTTATTGTTTAAATTAAGTTAAATTTATATTTTCATAATTATTATTTAGGTAACGCTTCCAAAGAAAATCAATCTGCTTCACCAAATTACGATCGTAAAATTCAGGAGTCTGGCAGCAATTCTTCAAAAGGCAATATGTCCTCTTCTATAACTGGAGACTCTGGTTATGGTAAAAGCTGGGCAAAAGAAGGTACCAATGATCTAGATTCAAGCCAGGCTGGTCCATCGAAATCCAAATCATCCAGAATGAAAAATTCTTGTGACAGTAATGAGGACAATATTACTTTTGCATCTTGTTTTGCACTAACGGAAGAAACACTAAGTGCTCATAATAAAATAAGTCAAAAACAAATCAAACAACAGCGCAAGAATACTTCACACAAGACAGCTATCCCTATTAAAGAAAACAGAGTCCAGCAAAATGATGTCGGGCATTCGAAAAATAAAAAGAACAACCGAAATCATAATTTGACTTCTCAAACAAACACTCCCACCACTGCTACTGTTCACACAGGATATAGGTGCGCTGCTCCAAATCCTGACCGAAGCAATCAAGATAATTTTTCAACTTCCATAACCAATGCAAACAATTCATGCCTTCTCTCGCACAATACTTGTCCTGGATCTGGTCCTATACCAACACCTTTCTTTGTTCCTGGTAATTTGTATTTCATTATAAACACATAATTAAAATTATTTTATAATTATAATTTTTAAATTTTGTTTTCCTCAATTTTGCAGTTGTTTACATGGGAAGTGTACCTTGTTTCCCTCCTGCTGTGAATCCATTTTGGTCTTATACACCTACACCTAATTCAGAGAACCAAAATCTCCCTTTCAATCCAGTTATTAATTTCCCATTGACGCCAGGCTTTCCATTTCCAACAATGCCAACCTATGTTGAAAATCTAAACTGTAATCATCATACTGTTCGCTCATCTGGAGTCACCACTACTTCTCATCATAGCACAACTACTACTACAGTTGCATCTGAAACATCCACTACCTTTAAAGTTAGTATTATTTAGGTGTTTATTAAAAAAAAATTGTGTTTTAATTACATAAGATCTATCAGCTTAATCTCTAAAGCAAACTAAAATTGTCAAATTTTTCTGGTTGTTCATTCTGATACTGTTGATAATTCTAAACCATAACTAATAATTAACTTTTTAGGAAAATCATAAATATTTCAGTTCAGTTTATTTTTTTTGTTTTAAAATTATTTTATGGCATTAATATTTATCTGTTCCAGATATATCTTGTCATGTTTTAGTGAGTAAGTTAAATGATTTATGTAACTCAAAATTATATCTAATGCAGAGCCTCATGTATCAAGTTTCACATTATGAGGATCTTCTACAGTACTTACATTAAGAAGAAGGCTAATAATTTTTTTCCCGACCCTGAACAAATTTTTGACATTGCTTAAAAGTCTTAACAGTTTATCGAAACTTTTAACTTTATTTAATTGTATTTTCCACTGGATGTGTCTTTTTTTTAGAAGTAATTTACGTGCAACACAATTATATTTTTGCTGTTCATTTTTTTAAAATTAAATGTAAAATAACTTTTTTTCATTTCATTTGTTTCAAATGTTTAAACTTTAGTATTTTTCTTAACATCAAATGCTGTAAGGTTAAGTAGTAGTATATTACTGCATAATTATTATGATTTATTCTTGCATTTTTATTCTTCAACGCAATTTTTATTTTATAGAATACTGTTGCTGGTAAAGAGTATTCAGCATACAAAAAAGAGAATACAAAAATGGCCAAAGCTGCACAAAACCATAAACAAGATAGTGAAGGCATTGAAAGTGATATGCAAATTGATGAATCATTGTCATCTTTTACAAAAAGCTCATCACAGCAGTCACAAGACAAAGATGAGGTAAATTTGCTTTTTATTTAGAAAAAAAAAATTGAGGCATTAATGATAGCATTTGTTATTAACCTTGACGCCTGGTGGCTGAGTGGTAGCACTTTGCGCTCCCGTGCCACAGGTCCTGGGTTTGATCCTCGGGATGAAAGGCTGATCAGCCTTTCATCCCTTCAGTGGATAGATAAAAGAGTACCAAGCATGCTTGGGAACTAAACACTGGGGGTTCCGCATTCGACTGACCACCTAACCGGAACATCTGCTCCTGCACCCCAGAGCCCAAGATCAAGAAAATTGAAATGGACACAGTAGGCCTTGGCCCTCTATGGGCTGTCGCACCACTGAGTTTAGTTTATTTGTTACTAACCTTAACTTTTTAACTAATCTGCTTGAGCAAACTTACTTTGCTGACTTTCTTGAAAAACATAAATTTTATTTTGAGTTAGTCTTTTAAAAAATGGTTGTTTTCGCAAATATGTTACTAGCTTTTCATAATGCTACCAAATATTTTTAATGACTGTTTAGAACTAGGATTGAAACATAAAGTATTAAATATGAGCTAGATATTCAAATTAGTAGAGTAAAATTTGCTCTAAGTTTCTTTTTTTTGTATAAAGAAATACAATATTGTTTTAAAAATTTAATAGTTCACTCTATTAACAATGTGTTTTCTTTTTCTTTCTTTGAAAAATGTATTTTGAGTTCTACAGAGTAGAAATGAAAGTTAATTGTTTTTTTATGGAAAGAAAATTCATTATATTCTGCTATCAATGCTTTTGTCTATCTGTTTTTTTTTCTCCTTACTATATTTAAGTAAATTTGTACCAGAGTTTTACTGAAAATTTTTTATTTTATTTTTTATATTCAATAACTCCCAAAGAAGCCAGTTTACTGGCAGTACTGATTTATTCAAAATTGTGATAAAAAATCAAAGACATTATAAATAAATAAATTATTAACTTTGTAAAAATTATCTTTCTGAATACTCAAAATTTGATTTGCTGTATTATCAGCACTGAGAGACAGGATGAATACTTTCCAGGGGAGGGAATATAGAGGAGGTACGTACTATAATAGCCTATAGAGCCTGTCCTTTACTTGCTATGCTATAATCCTTGCTTGTGTTATCAAATGCCAGCAAACTATCAGTAACTTGTATTTTAAAGTTAATGAAAATAAAAATTATTTATAACAAGTTTTTAAAACAATTTGTTTAAAAATTTTCTTAATTTTATGAAAAATTAAGTATTTACCTCAAAAAGAGGCCGACATTAACAAATCTATATTGGCTGTTAAAAATATATATATATTTTAAAAATTTACATAAATGTCAAAATATTATTTTAAGATGAAAACTTGTCTTAAAACAATCCTGGATCTCAGTCTTTTTCCAAAATGTAAATTCAAATATCTGAAAGGGATGTTTTTTCCTTTTTGTCAATCTTGTTAGGTTTCTCAGGGCTGATTGCGCTCCGGAAAAAATCCAGAAATCTGGATTTTTCGCTAACAGTGATCTGGAAGTTTCCGGAGATCTAAGGTTCAGACGTTTCAAAAAATCATTCATCACAGAAGTTTCCGGAAATCAAAGTTTCAAAGGTGGAACTTAAAAACACAGTTTATTTTATTTGTTTGTAAGGGAGAGCCAGAGATATACTTTATAAGCTTATATTCATGATTAATATTCGTTTTTTATCAGTAAATAATTGTTATAATCATAAACTTAGGAAAGAAAGACATATTTGTAAATTTTAATTACTTCTCCAGGTCATCGTAGGTATGTGTTAAATCTTAAATATATCTTCAGTAAACTAAGAAATATTGNTATTTTAAGTAAACTAAGAAATATTGAGAAAAAGGAAGAAAAAAAAAACTTGTTTGAATTTTTTTTCTAATTTTTCAATTTAAACTTCTTTTTAAACTCAAGAAATTTTCCAGAATTTTGACTTGGGCTCACAATCACCCCTGGTTTCTGTAAATAATTGGAGTTGGTTTTTAAAGCCAAACTCTTAATATGATTTCTTATTCTTCTAACATTTATAAAATATATCTCTATCAAATACTCATCAATTAATTTTACATTACTGACTAATTCCTTTTAAAAACAGAATTATGTTTTTTTAAGAAATTTAAGTTAAACTTATGGAACACACTTTTCACACTTATAAATGTTTTTTTATTTTTATATAGGATATGGATTTTGACGTGAAAAAATTTTACGCTGCATCCAGTTCTGACAAAATAGAACTGAATTCTGAAATAGCTTTCAGATATCAAATGAATACATCAAATGTAGATGAAGTATTAAAAAAAGATAGGGAAATGTTGAAATCAATGCAACAACCAGATCTTGTAAATAAACAACTACAAATGCTTCAGAAAGAAATTAAAGATGAAAATGAAAGTAAACCTAAAATTGAAGATGGCTTTTGTATAACTGAAGACATAATGCTTGGTTTAACAACAGAAGAGGCTGTAACTGAAGTGAGTTAACATTTGAAATCTACTATCTGGTATTATTTTATTACTCATTTTGCTTGTACTTTTTATCTGTCTTTGAAACAATTATAAAGCACAAATAAAAGTACGGAAATAGACATACTGTAGTTTTAGCTCTATTAGCCTTCAAACCTTCAGTTTCTTAAAAAAAAAATCAACACCCTTTTTTCAGTTAGACACTGAGGAAAGTTCTTGTTTAGAGAACCAGAACCATATTATGTCTATTTCTGTACCTTTATTTGCGCTTTATTCACATTGCTTTGCTTTATTTGTGTGTAGCACAATATATACCCTATTTTTATTTGTTTACTTATTTAGAAGAATTCAAACGTTTAACTTTTGCTAGCTGTACAGAATAATACTTGTACCATATAACTTATTGCAAAAAATATGGTATATATGTTGGCAGAGGTATACTGTTTTGTTTGTAATGCGCAAATAATAATATATATATATATATTTTCTCTCAAATTAGCTCAATTTTAATTAGTTAGCCAATTGTCTTTTTCCACATTTTTTTATAGATATAGATTGCTGGTTGAATTAAGCAATATTTATCTTAAAATATTGCTTATAATTCAAAATTTATCATAGCCTAATTTAAATATTTAAAAATTTGTAGAAATATATTGAGATTTAACAGCCATATTTTTTTTATTCAACAGCCATTATTTGTTCTCCTGTATCAACAATATTGCATTTTCTTCTTTTTTTTTAATGTTAATAAAAAAATTTCCAACCAACAATGTTGATAACTATATTACTTATGACAAAATATAATATTAATTTTGTAAGTAAATTTATAATGTTAATTCATTGTTTATCAGTTAAGATATCTACAATACTTAATATCAAAGATATGTAATCTATTTTATTAATTAATTATTTTCCCTTTTGTGTTTAGAATTGTATTTATATAAATTAGTATTAGTTTTTAAACCAAGATTAATTAAATTAAGATTGAACGAGGCAGTTAAAATTATTTGAAATCTCTGTCTTTGTACATGAACTTCTTATTTATTGAGGTATTGAAGAACCTTAAAGTAGATGCTATAAAAGTAAAAAAGGAATATATATATATAATAGTATATTTATTAATAGTAGTAAGTATAATTTCTATTTAATAATAATTTTGAAGTTGTTCTAAGGGTTGTATGGCCAACTCCCCCCCCACCTTCTCAACTAACGAAATAAATAATGATATTGAAGAACCAGTATTCAGTTTTCATAAAATATTTGTGATAACATTTTTAAAATTGTTGGTAACATTTTAAGAATAACTTTGAAACTATATTTTCTAAAATTTCAAAAGAATTAATAAAATTTAAAATTTTAGAAAAGCATTAAGACAATATTAATCATAAAGAATAAAACAGATTTTTTATACTTAAATAACTTTATTTGCCTCAGTATGTCTCTTTAGGTGTTTTACTTAATAAAAAAAAAAATCATGTACAAGGCAACTTCACATTACAGACACTGTTACAAAACGGCTTTCATTACAGAAATTTTTTTAATGCCCGGTGAATCTTCTATGAATGAACCATTTTGTATCCTCTCCACAAAGCTCACACTCTCGTAACTGGTCGAAGACAGTTTTTTATGGCACGAAACATTATTATCAATCTTTTGAAACCAGGCACTATTTTCTCTAAATTAGAAAAGAAAAAACTATTTTCCCTTTAAATTAAAAAAATATTAATTTTCATCATTTTCTGAAGCATGTGTTTTGCCTTATTCAAAACTAAAAAATAGTGTTAAGTTATTTCACTACCAGTAATTCTCCTGTTATCTTCCTGTAATTTTACAAAGAATGGAGAGAAAATATTGCTCATGTTAAATATTTCGTGCAGCAGCATCTTTTAATCTGTACGGCATAAGTTATGAGACCCCATAAGTTGAACTGAAATAAAAAAAAAAGTTCAGAATATTAAATTTTTTATTTTCATTAAGTTTTATCTAGCAGCTATTAACCTCATTTAGTCAACGGAATGACAAAATAGCTTTGACGTTGCTAAGCTATTTCGTCATTCTATCTTGTTTGTCATTAGATTTCCCTGCTTAAAAAAATTAAAATAAATTCAAGGCAGATATTGCAGCAGTTCCACAATTTGCTGTTTTATTATTTTGCCACTATTAGTTAAAATTTTTTATTTTGATCTGTGCAATAGAATTCTATTTGGCAGACTTTTAAATACTGTTGCCTGCTGCATAGATTAAATAAATGCTGACTTCCTTTTCATATAGTCAACTTTTCATGTATGCTCTTTTTTTCTTCTTCTTACACATCGAGAGCGCAAAGTTTTCTAATAAGTATTAAAACTTTTTTTTTTGTGTGTGTAAAATTATTTTTTATAGTCATCTTTTTAAAATTAAAAAATGTCCTAACTTTTCCTGAGCACATTTTGACAACCTGTGATTTAAAGTTAAATGTTTATTTAACAGTAGACGTAAAAAGGTCGATAGCTAGATGTTTTAAGAATTATAACTGATTTCTAATATTTATTTATGATTATTTCTTATTTGTCAGTTTTTTAATTTATTATTTTAGTTTTTCCTTTTGGTATTTGCAAAAACACTTCAGTTTCAGTTCCTAGTTTATGCATTGTAATATAAATATACTGTAAGGAAAAATTTGTCAATTAATAATTATCTTTCATATGCATATTCAGTCAACTCTCGACAGAACGGCCCGTGTTATAAGATTGAAAATGGATTGCAAAGCATAACATCACTGCATCCTGACTTCCCTAAATATCAAGTCATCTCTTATGCACACTGTACTAATTTTGCATAATTCTATATACTTTTAAAAGTATCAGGAAAATGAGAAGAAAGCAACGGAAAAAATTTGAGGAGCAGCAGTAATATTTGATAAATGACTTACGGCTAAAAGTTAGTCACTCATACTATTTATTGTGCCTAAAAACAAGTTTAAAATGAACGATGTGTTAAATCACACTTTTTAATGAACTCAGAAATGAACCCTCCTTAAAGACTAAAAATTTATGAGAAGAAATAATGAAATTTTTAAACGCAAAAATATACTTCATCAGTTTTTTGTTTCCTTCTAAAGATTGATGTTTTCTTTTAAACCCAATCATTAGATATAGGACATCATCACGGTTTTAAGTTTTAATATGTATGTGGTACTTTAAAAATAGTGACTTAAATAATTTTTTTGAAACTTTTGTTATTAAATGACTCTATCAATGAGGAAAAATTTCTTTCTGGAAAAATGCTTTTACTAGAATGAAAATATTATCAGAATAAAAAGAAACTGAATTTTAATCACTATATTGGAATGAATGGTTCTATTCTAATGTTACAATAAACATTAAAATGGAAGGCATCTACGGAATAAAAAGCAAGACTTATTACATTGATGTTATTATAGAGTGGTTGTTGTAATTGGGGGTCGTATTGAAGAGTGTAGACTGTAATATGAATTTAGATATATAATTTTTCAATTAATTAAAACTTTCTTTTCATACAAAACACTTGACTGGTGAGTTTTTTTTTTTAACCTCGTAATTTATTTTACTGTTTTTAATTTACAAATTTGAAATTAATTAGTATTTTGACTAACTAGAAATAAATATATTTATTTACTTCATCAAAACGCATTTTTTTCTTTCTTTTTAAAGCTTTAATTTTGCTTTTAATGTTTGCTCAAGCAAAACAATTTTAACTTTTACATAAGGTTTTAATGACACAGTGTCCAATAAGTTTGCACACAATTAGCAAGTTTATAACTTTTTACGCAATTCATTATTTACTTATTATTTTACTGTAGTTTTAATATTAGTTAAATCTTTTTCCAAAAGCATGTTCAAGGTTTAAAGGACTTGTAATATCTCTAAGATATGTTCCTTTAGATTTAGATGAATCTAAAAATATTTGACTATTTGATTTCGTTTGAAGTAATATGAGAATATTGTATGTACTTGGAAGTAGTTTTATACATTTACAGGCTTTTTTTGTGCTATTTTTGACCATTGAAATGCTTTTATTAACAAGAACATTTTTCATAAGAACCTCTTTTTTTGCATAATTATCCCCATTGTTTAGTTGATAAAAGAGCAACTTTTTAAATTACTAAATAAATTCTTAACCACCTGACTTAAGAATAACTAATGTGAAACAAGTTTGTTGAAACTTGTTTCACTTAATACTTAGACAGGGTAAGTCTGAACACGATGGCAAAATTTTTTTGGGTGATTGAATGCATCTACATGGGCAATATTCATCATAGAATGTATGATTGGAGCACATGCTGTGAGGAGTTTTTCCACTGTCATATTTAAAGAACCAATATAAGAATGGCAAAAAGATGCTTCAAAAAACTTTTTATTCAAGGTAATATGATTGATGTACAAAGAATGGCTGAACACGATTGCTCATAAGGTCTTTCCTCCCAGCTGCAATGCAGGCTTCACACACACGGTTTTGTGCACTTATGAAAACAGCTAGCAATTTTGCTGTCTTGTTCAGATTCACCCTGTATATTGCTTCTATCATACCGTATAAAACTTTAAAAACTATTCCTACTCTAATTTTCACTTTGAATGAAATAAAAAATTTTGGCATGCATTGCTATGTATTAAAGCTTATTAATTATTCTATGAACCAATGCAAACAAGTTATCCACATAAATTAGTTACACGTAAATCATTCCCAATAGCAGAACCTCTAAATTGATCTGCAACACAATTGAAAAATTCTGAAATTTTCCCACAGAGCATGCGATGAAATAATTATACTCAACTGTTATAGTTGTTAAAGTTCATTCATAAGTTTTAAAAGGCAAGAATGTCTGATATTACAATACTTAAAAAATTAACTGCACTTTTTAAAAAAGTACTTAAAATTAAGTTACTGAAACTTAATTTGATAAGATGAGAAGGAAAGACAAGCTATTAATTGCTCAACAATTTTTTTTAAAGTTTAACTTAATTTTGTCTTCAAGACCAAAAGAAATGTGT